CTACTACTACTACTACTACTCATTAAGATTTGGGGGTTTCAGGCTGCGCGTCTGACGGCAAGGGGCTTTTTGGAGGTTGGTCTTTAGGGTTTGGGGTTCGTTGAGGCTTGGGTCAGCTCATTTGAAGAGTTTCGTGAGGCGGGTCCCGCGTGCAAAGACAGCTGCAGTCTTCAAGGGAAGCGAAGATTCAGGCTGAAGGGTTTTGGTTTTAGGGCTAAGAATGACCCCGTGCCAACTAAGGCTATTGTATCGGATTTCCCGAACAGCAGAGTTTCTGCAAACTTTAGGACCGTTGGGAGAACAAAGCTTTCTTGAGGATCGACCAATCTTGCACCTAGAAACTGCGCAAGGAATGTAATCCCTAGAAAGTAAGACCCGTGCGAAATCTAGTGGTTCAAAGATATTAGGTTATCGACCATTTTAGTGGTCATATAAGGAAGCTTTGCAGCTTGGTTGGCCAGCATAACCAACTTTAGTTTTACTTATAGTATAAACCCTGTCTAGCCCCAAAAGGTTAACATTTTCCCAAGAAGCTGGACAAACTACGGTAATGCTAGTGAGTTAGTAGGGCTAAACCCTACACTAGCTTACTTTTTGTGTTAAGAAGTTCATTGCAGAGCCCCTATATCTTGTATACCAGGGTTTGCCGGGGGGTCATACACGGAAGTAGCTTCTGGTAGATTAAGGCTTGAAGGTACAGTATAGACCCACCCCCCGACCCCCCCCGTATGGGCCTACTCACTTGACTCAGGCCCCAGAGTGTGCTTTGGGGTATGGGGTAACTTAACTATCGAGGTCTGCAAAACGGTGATCCTATGCCCCGTAGTGCCTATCTCGTCAGAACCGCACTGTAATATACTTCAGAGCCAACTTTGTTCTTCAGGCCCCTGTATTAGGGTGAAGAGGTTCTTAGATAAACCCTACACCCTAAACACTAAACCCGATGGCTGCTGCAGGTGAGTTGGAGACTCCAGAGGGTGCCAACCTGCTACGGAGCATTGGTGTGGTCGGGGGCCCCTGCTACCAAAGATCTGAGATTAGGGGCTTATAGTGGTTTAGGGTTAGGGGTTCAGGGT